CACACCTTTAATCTTGGTACTCAAGAAGTAGAGGCAGGTATGTTCTGTGAATTTGAGGCTAGCCTGGTCTACATAGAGAGTTCCAGGCCAGCTAGGGCTACATACTAAGACCTCATCTCAAATAAATAACTAAATAAATAATAAATAAATAAATAGGAGGAAACTGAGGGCCAATAACTCATTCATGCCATAAGAATGTACTCAGTCCCTGTTATGTGCCTTGTGGATCTCACAGTGAACAAAATGGGCAGATTCCCACCTTCATGTGCTAGTATGGGGGACACATCATAAACAAAAGCACATGCAGTATCATGTCAAATGCATATATAGAATCATGTTATATAATATAGAGATTAGGCATGTAAGAGTGATAAAGCCACTGGAGACCTGAATGGCAGGAGGGAGTCAGCTAGGTGCCCGTCTGGTTCAGTGTCCAGGAGAGAGAAGAGAAGGGCAAGGGCAGGTTGGGGGACCTTGTCTTCATCCAGGCACAGTTAGAAGGCCAGCACATGGAGAGTGGGATGGGGATGGGTAGAGAAGAAATGGACTCAATGAGGGCAGGGGCTTGTTAGCTGTGGCCCTCTAAGGAGTTAGGTTTGACTCTGAGTTGATGGGAACTTTTAGAAGGGCTGGGTAGGAGCCTAGCTTGATCCAGCTGATGTGTGGGATCTCACACACCAAACTAAAGGGGCAGAGCTTGGCAGCTAGTTCAACCCCCCTACCCCACACTTGTCAGGGAATGTGAGATGGAAACACAGAAACTGCAGTTGTCTTTCATGAAGAGTGGGCACTAAGGCACATCTTCTTCAGTATCCCGGGGGCCCAGTAGAGGGCCTTGGTGCCAGGACTCCAGGGGCAATGATTCTTGGGAAGTGAGAGAATCAGATCCTATATTTCCACTGACCAAGCAGAGGGGCCAGGCAAGCCGTGTAGATCCACATCTCACTTCGGGAACAGGAAACAATACCTTACTTGACCATGGGCTTTGCCTGCTGAAGCTCAGGGGAGGTCTAGAGTGAGAGGTCCTTGAAGTGTGCAATGTCAGGGAGGCCCTGAGTTCATGGCCCTATACCATGCATGACTCTTGGCCTGACTGCTGAGGACTCAACATATTCTGTATTCACCTGCTGTAACCCCTAGGGCAAGGCCTGGCTGTGTTTTTTGTCTTGTGTGTGTTCATATGTTTTGACAAACACCTACAGCACAGCTATCTTGGCTTGGTTGCCTCTGGGAACTTGACCTCTGGGGACTGAAGAGAGGGAATAGAGATGTAGAAATAGTTCATTTGTGTTACTGTAACAAAATGCTACAGACGTGTGGCTTCTCAAAAACAGAGGTTTATTTCTTACAGTTCTGGAGGCTATACAAGTTCAAGATCAAGAATTGAACAGATTCAGTGTCTGGTGAGATTCTGCTTTCTGGCTCACAGATTGTTATCTTTTCCCTGCGCCTAGAAGAGACAAGGGATTTCCCTCAAACCTCTAAAAAATACACAAGCTGCATTCATGATGGCTCTGCTTTTCTGTTCTTTTTAAAAAATTTATTTTTATTTTATGTGCCTGAATGTTCTGCTTGTATGTACATAAGTGCACGGTGTGTAAATCCCATGGAGGACAGAAGAACTGGAGTTATGGATGGTTGTTAGCCACTGTGTGGGTACTGAGAATTGAACCTGGGTCCTCTGCAAGAGCAGCCAGTGCTCTTAACTGCTGAGCTATCTCTCCAGCCCCTCTTTCTGCTTTTCTTAATGCCATCACGAACCTATCACCTGTCAATGCACACCTCTTAATACAATCACCTTGAAGATTTAACATAAGATTTTTCTCATGAGGGGGCTTTTTGGGACAGGGTCTTCTATAATCCAGCATGGTCTTGAACTTGTTATGCAGCAGAAGATGAATCTCCTGATCTTCTTGCCTCTACCTCTCAAGTGCCAGGTTACAGGCATATGACACTGTGACCTATGGATTTTAAAAAATTGATTCAGTGGGGGCTGGAAAGATAGCACAGCAGTTAAGAACACTGACTGTTCTTGCAGAAAACCCGGATTTGAATCCCAGCACCCACATGGCAGCTAACAACTATCTGTAACTCCAGTTCCAGGGGATCCACAGTTTCTTCTGTCCTCTGCTGGCATTGCATGACGTGGGTGCACTTACCTACATGCAGGCAATACACGCATACACATAAAATAAAAAATAATAAATAAAATGTTTAAAAAATTGATTCAATGTATTTTGATCATATTCAGAGTCCCCCATCTCTACCCTTACCTTGCCCACCTTCTCCCTGAACATATGGGTTTTGATGGGGTGGTGGATGAAAACACTTAGACTGTAGCAAGTGACTTCCTTCCACCCCCCATTCTGGCATTCCTGTAACTCCTTCTACAGACTGTGAGGAAAGGTGTGGGGATTGTGTGCATACATATCATCCTGTTCCACCTGGACTCCTGAGGGTCAGAACTCCTAGTTCTTTCTGCCTCAGGGAACAACACAGTGTCTGGTATTTGATTGTTATACAGAAAGTAATTGACTGATGGATGGATGATGGTCCTTAGTGGCTGGAATGGTGGTTTCTAGAATTACTCTGTAGTCTTGTCTCCTGTAGCTGTCTGGCCCTCAGCTCTCTTCTATAAAGGCCTGGTGTTGACTCTAAGGGCAATGATGCTTTGAGGAGTGAGTTGGTTCCCATACTTCCACTGACCAACTCCTTTCTCATTCTTTAAGCCAGTTCTGAATGTGAGGTACCCTGGTATGCTCCAGGGCTTCGGAAATTCGAATCAGTGCTGACCTTAAGAAAATGAGATAGAACTGGGCATGGTGGTGCATGCCTTTAATCCCAGTGCAGCTGGAGCTACAGGGAGACTCTGTCTCAAACAAGACAAAAAAAAAAAAAAAGAGATGGAGGGACTTAAGAGCACTCAGTAGGTTCGATTCCCAGCACCCACATGGTGGCTAACAACCATCTAACTCCAGTTCCAAGGGGGATTTGACACCCTCTTCTGACCTCCTTAGGCATTGTACAACATGGGTGCACTTATACACATGCAGGCAATACACTCATATACATAAACAAGGGGCTGGAGAGATGGCTCAGTGGTTAAGAACAGTGTTCTTGCAGAAGACCCAGGTTCAAATCCCAGCACCCACATGGCAGCTAACAACTGTCCGTAACTCCAGTTCCAGGGGAATCAGACAACCTCTTCTGCCTGCCGCAGGCATTGCACGACATGGGTGCACTTACCTATATGCAGGCAATACACACATACACATAAAATAAAAATAATAAATAAAATATGAAAAAATTTTTTAAAATACCAGTATAGTGATGCATGATTGTAATCCCAGCACTTGGGAGATAGAGATGGGAGTATCTATGAGTGTCACTTAATTGATTGAGCTATAGGCCAATGAGAGACCCTGTCTCACAGGAGATGACCCCTGAGGTTGTCCTCTGCCTCCACATGCATGTACACACATGTGTGTACACACAAACGCACACAGGCACACACATACATACACATAGGCATTAAAAAATAAAGAAACCGAGAAGGGTCCCTTGCAGACATGGATAGCCATAACATCAATGTCAAATGGCAATTGTCTTTATGGAGAGTTCCAATGTGGCTCATAGGAAGATGTGATCGCCTCTGCACTTGAGGGAAGGTTTCAGAGGGTTGCGGGTCTTGATGTGGTCTTGAAGGATGATCAGGTGTTTGTTAAATTAATAAAAAGAAAATGTTCTAAACAAAGAGAAGAAAACACACACACACACACACACACACATACACACACACACACACACACACACACACACACACCATATATATAG